AGAGAGTAAAAAAGAATGAAAGGGAGACAAAAACAGAATAAGAGAAGGAGACAGAGAGAAAGAGGAGGAGAGAGAAAAAATGAGAGAGAAAGAGAGGGAGACAAAGAGAGAAAGAGGGGTAAAGAGAATGAGAGAGAGAGAAAGAACTAGAAAGAATGAGAGAGGGAGACAAAGAGAGAAGGAAAGAGAGAGGCAGAGAGAATGAGAGAGCATAAAAAAGAATGAAAGTGGGAGACAGAGAGAGAAAGAGAGGAGGAGAGAGAATGAGAGAGAGAATGAGAAAGATTGAGAAAGAAAGAGAGAAAATGAGAAAATGAATGAAAAGATTGAGGGAGAAAATGAGAGAAAAAATCAGAGAGACAGAGAGGAAAATTAAGAATGAGAAAGATACTGAGAGATAGAGAGAGAAAAAGGGAATAAGAAAGATTGGGAGAGAAAGAAAGAACAAGAGAATGACTGAGAGAGAGAGAGAGAAAGAGAGAGAAAGATATTGAGAGCAAGAGAAAGATGGAAACAAAAATTGAGAGAGAGAAAAGAGAGAGAAAGAAAGAGAATTAGAGAAAGGGAATGAGAGAAATACGCGTGATTCATACGTAAATACTGTACGTTGGATTAGAGTAGATGAGTTGATGAGATTGGAAATGAGAAATTCATTTCTCAGTATGCAGATTTTTGCATTATTGCAGTTTATTGGCTACGTTCAGTTTGTCGTGTCTGGACATTCAACTTCCGACAAAGTTCATTTGTAAAAAAAAAATTATTAATAGCTCTGTAGTAAAGAAACACATTTAATATGTTACCTTTAAGACCTGCTTCATTAATTGCTTAGTGTTAAAGGACCATATCATGAGAAAACAAATTTTCCTCTGTTTTTGTTTTAATAGAAGAGTTTGACGTGGAATGCAAACCTCATCAAAGTTTCAAAATGTACCATACGGTCCATATCGGAAAACTAAGCTGCAAAAATAGACCGCTTTGAATTCAGCTTTTGTGATGTTATGAAAGTCAGCAATTTATATATATTTGCCTAGCTCCGCCCACTTATACTGAAGTTATAAGGAGCCTGAACTGAGTTTAGAATGAGGCACAGTACAGAGCAGCCAATCAGAACAGAGATCGTTTACTCAAACTAGTCTTAAAGGGAGAGATAAATGGTCATGAAAATGAATTTTGGCTTTTTTTTAAAGCATAAAATCATACAAATATTAGTGGACCTCAGGGAGGAAAATAGAAGAGAAGAGAAATTTAGGATATGGGTTCTTTCAAGCCTCTTAAATATAACGGTGTAATATTCTAGTAGAATTTGATGCCGTTTGCTGGATTTTGAAGGACCTTGAAGGGAGTCTGTAATCAATTTGTTTGGCTGCATTTCCGCCTCATTTTCTCACAGTTGGCTGTAGGGCTGTGGTGGTAATGACACCAAATGTGCTGATAAGGAGAGATAGTGAAGTTCTTTTTGTTTGTGCTGCTTCTTATTATCTCTACATTTTCAAATATGTTGCAGTTGTTTAACGTTTGATATTGTAGACGTTTACACATAGTTGCACTGAGTGAAGGTTGTCAGTTTTATTGTCTGCATGAGTTTTATTTAAAACAAAATTAAAGTGATTAAATGAGAAAAGCTGAACTGAACTTATTTCAGTATGAAGGAAAATATCATGCAAAAATTCAAGAAACCCTAAATTTTTTCAGTGGAACCAATAATAGTTATATAAGTACTGATATATAAAATTATACACATACACAAAGCAAATGACTTATGTAGTTATATACAACTGTATATCACTAGAAATCTGCATTTAGATCGATATGCTGCAGTTTTGAAGTGTCTCAAACACAGTACTGATCAAATTAAGAGCATGAGCATCTGTGCGGCCAATAGAAATACATACATTTTTATAATCAAAACATGCTTTCAGTGACAGTTTGTAGACCCGATGAAGATCGCTGATTGTAAAAACCTACTGAAAACATTTACATTCATAACAGAAGGGCTGTGAAAAGCATTGTAAGACTGCTACCCACGCACAGTTGCGCTACTCTCAAGCTCTTCAGAAGTAGTTTATTCGATGTTGAATGAATCGATGAGCTTCATTAACCCGTTTGTTCTAAGAAATCCAGAAATGGAGCTGAACTGAGGCTTAAGCTATGCTGATGATGAGGATTGTGATTTATGTATAAATAGTCTCTCTCAGGCGGGACGCTGCATTGGTGTTGCTTAAAGGGGAATTCCATTGATTTTTATAAAATTTCTTCATAATTCAGTGGTTGAGATTTAAACAGTCACTCAGATTGATTTGATGTGAAATGATTCACTGTAGGGAAACTTACCAACTCAAATTTCTCTACAGTGGCGGTGATGGGAACTGTAACGGCTACAACACAAATATAGCCATCTTATTTATTATCCAAAACCACCAGTGAAACTGCATGTCTTCTGAGTTTTATATATAATGTTGATGATGTTACAATAGTGGAAAATCTGAAAGAATAAAAGACTGTTTTGCTGTACAATGTCCTGCATGTACCTCTCTGCCATAAATGGATTTTTAAAAAAAAGTTTTTGGCCAAAACCTTCTCAATGTCTCGAATATCAGCCATAATATTCATAACAATTGTATGTAATAACTTTCTGTGAGGGATCTTTTAGAGGCATTAAACTCATAAAATTCAGACGTCTGGTTCCCATCACCACCACTGTTAACAATTCGGATTCAGTAAATTTCTCTAGAACAGTGAATTTCACATCAAACCACTCTGAGTGACTTTGTTTACATCTTAAACATGTAATTATGCAGAAATTTTGAAAAATCTGTGCAGTTCCCCTTACAGCACCTATAACAGAGTTAGAGGAAAGAAAACTCTGGGAAAAACAAGCCTTGTCCATTTGTAACCATTAGACCTCCACAGATGTTGTTTTCTTGCTGCTTGTTGTCGTCGTTGGCGATGATCTTATGAAATATGATGTAAGCCGTTGCAGCATCATCTTTCAAACACAACATATTGGCTAATGTGATTTGAATAGAAGATTCTCAGACAAACTTCATTCCAACACACACACAAACAGGTCCCGGTAAGCTGTAATCACTCTGTAGTTCTTGCTGTTGGGCTGGTTGAAGGCTTTTGGAGTCCAAAGCTAATTTTAATGGGCTACATCTGGACTTAAAGCACATTTCGCCCCATTTTCATATTTTCTGCATAATTAAACCACTAAAACTACGTCATTCTGAGTGGTTTGATGTGAAATGGTTCATCGAAGAGAAACTTAGCAATTCAGATTTCTTTTCAGTGCTGGTAAAAGAAACCAGGAGTCACAACTATAATATTTTATTTTCAGGGAAGACCAGTTACACATATACCTTTTTTAAATTGTTTATATGTAATGTTCATAATAGTACAATAGTGGCAAATCTGAAAAAAATGTTTCTCTGTGGACTATTTTGCCCTAAAACACCCTACACATGTTAAAAGATGGTTCTTCCAGGGTTCTTTAGCAAAGACAAAGGTTCTATTTAGAACCATGAGTTTTATACAGAACCATTTCAAGCTTAAATTGGTCTCTGCTTGGTGAAATAGTTCTTTAGATTGATGGAGTATGTGTATATGGTTCTATATTGAACATTTTTGGAAACGGTTCTATACAGCACCAAAAAGGGGTTCTGCTATTGTTACAATGTCATGATTATAGTAATAAAAGAACCTTTTTTGGGTGTTTAAACACACTGAGTGTGTTTACATGCACTTAATAATCCGATAACTGCAGAAAATAAGCTCTCCAAAAGTGTTTTGCTGCCATCTCACGACATCCACCATCTGTTCTCGTGCATGCGCAGACTGAGAAATCTGATAGAAATCGGAGTGTGAGTATACATGCACCGGGAAATCTGATTACTGAGCTAAAATCCAGCTCTCTTTATTGGATTTCTTAATCGGATTTCTAGATTGGAGTATGGTGTTTACATGACCATTTGAATAATCGGAAAACTGCAGAAATCCGATTATGATCAGATTATTGAGTGCATGTATACGCATTCACTGTTGTAAACAGTGTGCTAAGGTGCCTTATTAGGAACACCTGTACATCTACTCATTCATTCAGTTACCTAATCAGCCAGTCATATGTCAGCAATGCAGTGCATAATATCATGCAGATACGGGCCAGCAGCTTCAGGTAATGCTCACATCAACCATCAGAATGGGAAAAGTGATCTCAGTGATTTTGACCGTGGCATGATCGTTGGTGCTAGATGGGATGGTTTGAGTATTTCTATAACCGCTGATCTCCTGGGATTCTCACGCACAGCAGTCTCTAGAGTTTACTCAGAATAGTGCAATAAAGAAACATCCAGTGGGCGGCAGCTCTGCGGATATATATGTTTTGTTGTTGAGAGAGGTCAACAGAGAACGGCCAGACTTGTTCGAGCTGACAGAAAGATTATGGTAACTCAGATGACCACTCTATACAATTTTGGTGAGTGCACATTAAATCTTGAGGTGGATGGGTTACAACAGCAGAAGACCATGTCAGGTTCCACTTCTGTCAGCCAAGAAGTGCAGTGTACACAGGCTAACCAAAACTGGACAGCTGAAAACTGGAAAAGCGTAGCCTGGTCTGATGAATCGATTTCTGCTGAGGCACACAGATGGTGGGGTCAAAATTTGGCACCAACAGCATGAATCCAAGGCCCCAATCTGCCTTGTGTCATGCAGTCCAGGCTGGTGGAGGTGGTGTAATGGTGTGGGCAATGTTGTCCTTGTACACTTTGGGCCCATTAAAACATATCAATCGTGGCTTGAATGCCACAGCCTGCCTGAGCATTGTTGCTCACCATGTGCATCCCTGCATGGCCACAATTTACTATCTTCTAATGGCTACTTACAGAATGATTATGCTCCATGTCACAAAGCAAAAGTCATTTTAAAACTGGTTTCATGAACATTACAGTGAGTTCAGTGTTCTTCGGTGGCCTTCCCAGTCACCAGCATCTTTGGGATGTGGAAGAATAGGAGATTTGCAAAATGTATATCTAAAAAACCTGCAGATATTGCATGATGCAGTCATGTCAGCATGGAGCAGAATCTCAAAGGAATGTTTCTAACATCTTGTGGAATCCTTGCCATGATGAATTGACGCTGTTTTGAGGCCTTACCCAGTATTACTGTAGCATTCCTCATAAAGTGCCTGGCGAGTGTATATGTCTATGTATGGGTGAGCAGTTGCTAGAGGCGATGTCACTCCTGATTGACAGCTGTAATGAGGACGCAGATTTGCTTAGCAAGCTCAGAGGGACGTAACTGCCTGTGGAAATCCTGTTTGTCCTTATTTTTTTTCCTTTCTGTGTTGATTCTCCCTCTTTCTCCGCCTCTCCGAGTGCGTGTTTGTGTGTGAATGTGTGTGTGTGGGAGTTTGATGGCCTGTTGTCCTGCTTAGTGTCGACTGCTGGTGAGTGTGTGTTCTCTGCCTGGTTGTGCAAGCAGAATGAATCATCAGGCCACAGGTGATAAAAAGGGGCATAACAAAGATACAGGAGTTTGGAGGAACAGTGTTACCTGCAGTGGAAGAGAATATGTGTGTGTGTGTGTGTGTGTGTGTGTGTGTGTGTGTGTGTGTGTGTGTGTGTGTGTGCGTGTGAACATGAGTCATGCTCTAGTTTCATTAGTGAGAGAAATACAGAGTTGCCGCTTCTGAATTTGAATTCAGAGAGAGAGTGAGAGAGAGAGGGAGAGGGAGCGAGAGAGATTCACTCGAAGAAGGGAAGCGACTCAGCAGTGAGTGTTTGCGCGTTCGCTCGCGCTGCGCCGTGTTTCTCTGCTCCGTTCTGTCAGAAATAGAGATTAACGCGAGCTGAAGGAGAGTGATGGGCTCAGACCTGAGGTGAGTACACAGTACACTCTCTGTGTGCTTTGTTTTTCTTCTGTAATTCTCTCTCTTCCAGTTTTTGTCTTTTTTACTTCTTGTTCTTGTTCTCTTGCACTCTTTTCTATCTCGTTCTTGCACGCTCTGAGTGTTTCTCTCTGAACTCACTCTGATTACTGCTCTTTCTCCTCTTTTTCTCCCTCTCTTTATCCTTTATCTCTCTGCATTATCTCGCTTTCTCTATCTTTCTCTCGCTCTCTAAGCTCTTTCACACTCCCTCTGCATCATCGTACTCTCTCACTCTTTCCACTCTTTCTCCCTCTTGCGCCCTCATTTTCTCTCCACTCACTCGCGTTCTCTCTCTGCATTATCTCTCTTTTTCTCCGTCTCTCTCCCTCTCAGCTCTCTTTCTCACACACATCCTGCTCTCTTTCTCTCTTGTCTCCCTCTCCTCTTTCTCTCTCTATTTCTCACTCTTACATTGTTTCTCCTCTCTCTCCATCTTTCTCATTATCTCTCTCTTCATTATCTCACTCCTTATCTCTCTATCCCTCTCCCTTACACTCTTCCTCCACTCTCTCTGCATTATCCCACTCTCTTTCTCACTCTTGTCTCTCTCTCCTCTTTCTCTCTCTATTATCTCACTCTCTCTTACTGTTCTATCTCTCTCTCTCTCTCTCCTCACTATTTCTTTCTCTCTCTTTCTCACACACATTCTGTTGCCTCTTTCACTCACTCATACACGTAAACACACAGGTCGGGCTTTCATTCGTCTCCCGGTGGAGTTTTATTCCGTCTGTAGTTCAGCTTGTAAATGCTGTGTTTACTGTGGAGATGAGCTGATAGTGTTGTTTCTAGTGCTGTATTAATATAATAAGTGCTCTAAATGTTGCCTCAGCTTTTGAGCAGCTACAAGTGAGTCTGATTTAGTGTTTTGTTCTTTGAGTGATGTGGAACTGAATGGTGATGTGCTGGAATGTTACATACGGGTGCTTGATGTTCTTTTCAGTGTGCTCGGTCATCATGACCTTTATGACCATGTGATGGATCGTGTCAAAGTGTCCAGAACTGCTGGTTAGATTGGCGCCTTTTTCTGCCCCGACTGTTTGTAGAATGATGTGGTGTAGATAGCTACCCCCGCGCGTGTGTAGTACAGAAAGCGTGCACAGTCAGAACAGCACAGGAAGGGCGGGATCAGCCGCAGCGAACTAGTTCAGAAATGACTCGCGCCTGATTGGCTGCGCGATGCGTCCATCAGATAAAGAGTCCTTGTGGTTGGGTGACGTTCTCCTGGCACTGCGCCAGACCTCCTGCGGGGATTTTACCTTTTTCTCAGGAAGGAGAGATGTGTTGGCCGGGGTTTCCGGGGACCGAGGCCCCTTCAAAACTCATGCGAAAACAAAACTCTTTTCAGTTCTGTAACTCGCTTCACTGACACGTTTCACACTGAGAAAAACTCTTCACAGCTCGCAGCCACAAACGGGACTTTATAGCAGCTCTCATTCTGAGAACAGATTTCTCTCTCTCTCTCTTTCTCTCTTTCTCTCTTTCATATAATTCTCATAACAGAAATGAGGGGATTAAAAATGAGCTGTTTATTTGCTCATTTGCATAACGCACTTGAGCTACAGTGAGTTTCAGCAAAGTTAAGGCCAGTGGATTCTTAAAGAGGACGTAAGCTAATAAAGAGTGGCCAGTGGGGGAGTGAGTGAGAAGGGGAGAGCAAAAGAAAGCTAGAGGGGGAGAAAGAAACAGAAGTAGAGAGAGAATGAAGAGAAAAGAAGATAGAGAGAGCATGCAAACAATATATATATAGAGAGAGAGTGATGTAGAGGGAGCAGGAAGAGGAGAAAAGAAGTGCAGGAGAATAAGATAATGGATAGTTTAGAAAAGAGAGAGAGAATGAAAGAAAGAGAGAAAAGAGAAACAATAGAGAAAGTAATATAGAGAGAATGAAGAGCAGAAAAAAGGGTGGTGGAATAAGAAAAAGTTTATAAAAGACAGTTTTATAAGTTTATAAAAGAGAGAGAGAGAGAACGAAAGAGAGGGAGGAAAGAGAAGTGGAGAGAAAGATGAAATGATAGAGAGAGTCAATGAAGAGAAGAAAATAAGTGCAGGGGAATGAGATAATGGATAGTTTATAAAAGAGAGAGAGGAAGAAAGAGAGAGAAAGTCATATAGAGAGAGAATGAAGAGCAGAAAAAAGGGTGGTGGAATAAGATAAAGTTTATAAAAGACAGAGATAATGCAGAGAGAGCATAGAGAAATAAGAGATAAAGATAGAGGGAACATGAAGGAGAGAAAGAAAGTTCAGCTGAATAAGCTAATGGATAGTTCATAAAAAGAGAGAGCAAACGAGAGAGAGAGAGAACGAAAGAGAGGGAGGAAAGAGAAGTGGAGAGGAAGATGAAATGATGGAGAGAGTCAATATAGAGAAGAAAATAAGTGCAGGGCAATAAGATAATGGATAGTTTATAAAAGAGAGGAAGAAAGAGAAAAAGTCATAGAGGGAACATGAAGGAGAGAAACAAAGTTAAGTGGAATAAGCTAATGCACAGTTTATAAAAGAGAGAGAGAGAGAGAGCATGAAGGAGAGAAAAGAAGTGCAAGGGGGTAAGATATTATGTATATTATAGAACAGAAAATGAGGGGAGAGAGAGATCATGCAGAGAGAGAGGTGAGAGAGTGAGAGACAGACAGGAGAAAGAGAAAGTAATGTAGAGAGAGGATGAAGAAAGGAAGCCAAGAAAATCAACAGAAAATCAGAGGTGGTGTATCAAGATAAGAGAAGAGAGGAGAGATGGATGGAGGGATGGAGGGATGGAGGAGAGGAACCTGGAGCCCTGCTCAGGCATGGTCCAAGGAGGTGATGCCAAGAAGCACATTCTTTGGCAGGATAGGTGGCCGCTGTAAAAGGCACTCTGGAACACAATGTTCAGGTTGAGAACTCCAAGAAACACACAGCGGTAAACAGGGGTCACGTGTTAGGCAGGAAAGTGTCGCAGTAACCCTTCAGGTGCATCAGTACGTCTGCGGAGCAGGAGGAAGCTCGGGCGGGTCCCTTCCTGTAGATTCTAATGATCATATGAGTAATCAAGTAAACTGAAGAGTAGTTTGAAGATTAATTGAGTGATCAGAGTTTAATGAAAGGCCAAACATTGGAAGTGGACTTAATGAAAGAGTAACAAAGTATGTAGAGCCTTTAAAGATATATGATATATTCAGAAACAATAAACAAGACTTTCAAAAGGCTTAATTAAAAAATTGATGTGTCAAAAAATACATATAAATGAGTGTCTGTTAAGCTGTTTTTTACAGTAAAAGAGACCAGTAGGAGAAGATAAAGGGGAATTCTATTGATTTTTTTTTTTTAATTTCTGCATAAATCAGTGGTTGAGATGTAAACAGAGTCGTTCAGTGTGGTTTGATGTGACGTGGTTCATTGTAGAGGAACCTGCTGGCTTAGATTTCTTTGCAATGGTGGTGATATGAACCAGGGGTCGCAATATCTACAATACCACTATAGCCTTTTCAGACGTCTGGTTCCTATCACCACCACTTTAAACAATTCTGAGTCAGTAAGTTTCTCTAGAGTGAAGCGTCTCATATCCATCCACTCTAAATGACTATGCTTCCATCTCATCAATTTAAATGCGCAAATTCTTGGACAAAAAATGTGGTATTTCCTTTAAAACAATACAATTTTTAGGTTAATTGAGTAATTGTGACAGCCCTAATTGCATTAGCATGAGTGTAGATGGCTTAGTCCCAAAGATGACCACCTTTATCCAGACCTCTGTCCTAAGTACCTCCTCTCTGCCCTGAGGGACGATTGCTAAACTCAGTTATGTCAACACACATCCGTGTAGAAGGGTTTGGATAACATCATGGGAACTGAGCTTGGCTCACAATGAAACTGTTTAGTCACTTGTACGATTTGTCCATTCACAGACAAAAGGAGTTCTGAGATGTTTACTTGGAATGACTCTCCCTCTTGCGCAGAGGTGCAAGTTCTAAGTCTGCACACAAGGGGGGGCTGTGGAACCTGTCTCAGGTACAAATCCCTTCACTTTGGTGAGAAAAGCTGAACTCCTGCTGGTAAAATGTGTGATCTGGGACCAGCTTTCTGTGTATCAGCAGTAAACCGAGCTTCTTTATCTCATTAGTGTGAGAGCGTTCTGGGATCTGAGCCCGCAGGTTTTAAAGCGACCCTTTTCTGGCTGGTGTTGTGACTGAGAGTCTGATGTCTGTGTTTTGCATGCACAATGACTGTGAAATGTTCTGCGACACTTTGCCCTCTTTTGAATATTTGATTATCATACATACTTTTTGGTTAATTAAAGAAAAATCCTTTTTTTTGGATACGTATTTTGCAGCAGTTTTTTGTTCATCTAAGTGTCTTCTCTGATGTGAAGGGCAGGTTTTGCCTAAATAATGATCTGACTGATTCATTTATTGGTAAAAGCACATATTGGAACTCTTTTGGCACAAAGGTGATTCAGTCAGCTGAAAGGATTGAGTGCTGGTGAGTTGTTGCTTCCATTTTGTACAATGTGTTTGCAAATCTAAACAGCTTTCTATGTAATATTTTACTGCAAGGTAAATTTGTTAATTTTCCAAGTAAAATGTTGTAGAACATATAAGACGTCCTCTACAGCCATTTTTGCACACTTCAGGGCAAAATTAATATTTTTTTAAATGCTGAAAAAATAAAACGTGAAATTTACTTATGTATTTATTTATTTATTTATTTATACGAAATGTGCCAGAACTTTTGCACAGGCCACATTTTATGTTTTATTTTTCCAGTATGTGAAATTCAGCAGATAAACAGTAGTTAAACAAAAAAATTAATTCTAATAAAAAAAAATTCATGTTATATGACCTGGGGCACCCAAACTTTTGCATGCGGCTGTGTTTGTTGTGTCTGGGTGTGTTGAGAAGTGGCGCAGTGTCATTACCCTGAGAGAGGAGACCACTCAGCAGAGAGAGAGACCTGTTAATGAAGACAGGTTCTA